ATCAGAGAACATATTCTGTATGATTTCAGTTTTCTTAAATTTGTAAAGTTTGTTTTATGGCCCAGAATGTGGTCTTTTTGGTATATGTTCCATGGGCGCTTGATAAAAATGTATGTTCTGCTGTTGTTGGATAAAGTGTTCCATAAATGTTTATTAGATTGTGTTTGTTGGTAGTGTTCTTCTAGATCCTTGCTGACTTTCAAATGACTAGTTGTTCTATCAGTTGTTGAGAGAGGGCTGTGAAGTCTCCAACTGTATTTGTAGAACTATTTCTCCTTTCAGTTCTACCAGTTTTTGCTTCATGTATTTCACAGCTTTGTTGTTTGGTGCATACACATTTAGGAATACTATATCTTTTTGATGGATTGTTCCTTTTATCATTATGTAATGACTTTCTCATCTCTGGTCATTGTTTTTGCTCTACAGTCTACTTTATCTTATGTTAATATAGCCACTCCTGCTTTCTTTGATTGCTGTTTGCATAGTATATCTTTTCTCATCATTTTAACTTTCAACCTGCCCATATCATTATATATAAAGTGAGTTTCCTGTAGATGCCGTATAGTTTAGTCAAGTTTTAAAATCCAATATACCAGTATATCTCTTTTAATTCGTATATTTAGACCATTTACATTTAATGTAATTATGGATGGAGGGGTTGAGTCTGCCATTATATTTTTTGTTTTCTATTGTTCATTCAGTTTTTCATTTCTCTGTTTCTTTTTCCTGCCTTCCTGAGGTTACTTGAACAATTTTTAAAATTCCATTTCAATTCATCTGTAATGTTTTTGAGTGTAACTCTTTGAATAGCTGTTTCAGTAGTTCTAGGTATTGCATTATATGTATACATAACTTATCACAGTCTACTGGTGTTATCATTTTACCAGTTCTAGTGAAGTATAGACATATTAACCTCTCTTTAAGTCTCTTTACCATCCCCCATTTGTAATCCAATTGTCTTAAAGATTTTCTTTACATATATTTAGAACCACATCAGATAGTGATATAATTTTTGTTTTAACCCTTAACATTATTTAGAAAACTGGAGGAGAAAAGGAAAGCCTATTGTATTTACCCATATTATTGCTTACTGTGTTCTTTCCTCCTTTCTGATATTTCAAGTCTCCTTTCATCTTTTCCTTTCTGTTTAGAGAATTCATTTAGCTGTTCTTTTAGGGTAGGTGTGCTGGCAACAAATTCTTTTAGTTTTTTTGTCTGAGAATATCTTGATTTCTCCTTCATTTCTGAAAGATATTTTTACTGGGTATAGGGCTCTGTATTGACACTTCTTTCCTTTCAGCACCCAAAAAATATTGTGTTACTTTCTTCTGGTTTCCATAGTTTCTGATGGAAAATCAGTTGCCATTATAATTGTTTTTCTCCTGTAGGTAAGGTGTTGTTTTTCTCTAGTTGCTTTTCATATTTTTTTCTTTGTCGTTAGTTTTCAAAAATGTATTATGATGTATCTAGTTGTGGATTTCTGTAGATTTATTCTCTTTGGGGTTTGTTCAACATCTTGGATCTGTAAGTGTATGTCTCTTGTCAAATTTGGGAAGTTTTCAGCCCCACCCTCTTTCTCTTCTCCTTTTAAAACTACTATGAAATAAAGTTAGATATTTTGTTATAGTCCTACAGGTTCCTGAAAGTCTGTTCATTTTTATTCTCAGTTTATTTTATCTCTGTTGTTCAGATTGAGTGATTTCTATTGTTCTATCTTTTAACTTGCTGATTATTTCCTCTATCCCCTCATACCACTACCATTCTGCTGAGCCCTTCCACTGAGCTTTTTATTTCGATTATTGTCATTTTCAGTTCTAAAATTTACATTTTATTTTTCTTTATATCTTCTATTTCTTCGCTGAGACTTTGTCTTTTTTTGTTTCAAGCATATTCATAATTGCTCATTGAAGCATTTTCGTGATGGCTGCTTTAAAATCTTTGTCAGATCATTCCAACGTTTCTGTCATCTCAGTGTTGGCATTGATTATTTTTTTTCATCCAGTTTAATGTCTTCCTGGTTCTAGATATGATAAGTGATCTTTGATTGACAGTTGGACATCTTTGTATTGTTATAAGGCTCTGGATCTCATTTAAACCTTCTCTTTTAGTTGGCTTTTTCTGATGGAGGGAGGGAGGTGGGCACTGCCTCATTACTGCCGGATGGAAGTAGAAGTCCAGCTTTCCCACTCTGCCTCATTTGACACTTGGAAGGGAGGGGGACTCCTCCTTACTGATGAGTGGGGAGGGGAGTATCAGCTCTCCATATAGTCTCCACTAACACTGAAGTGGAGGTGTCCTCATTACCACTGGGTGATGGTGAAAGTCTGGAGTCTCCACTAGGCCTCCTCTGACACCACCCCAGTGGGGAGATGGAGGAGCACCTCATTACTTCTGGGTTAGGTCTACTTCTGAGATAGTCTCCACTGACTTCATAGGCTGAGGGAACTTTGTTACCACATAGCAGGGATGAAAGTTCCAGCTCTCTACTTGGCCATCTCTGGCATTATGCTGGCAAGGAGGTTGAGGTGCTGTGTTACAGCCTGGAAGAAGTGGAAGTCCTGGGTCCCCACTTGGCCTTTCAGAGGGGTGGGGCTACAATTTTTTCTGTGATGTTTGGCTGGAGTAGGGTGTTTTTTGTCTATAAGTTTTCTGTCTTGCTAGGCTTCCTCTTTCCTGGTCCTTGGCAAGAGAGAGCAGGCTTTTGTTGGGGACTTTTTGTCAGCACCTGGTTGCATTTCCTTATTGCTGACTTCTTCAGCTCCAGTAATGGGATATATGAGGTGAGAAGAAAACTCAGGGAACTCACCACTGTGTCTTCTTTGGGTCCCAAGGTCTTAGCCACTTTGTTTTCTCACTGCATTTCAGAGTCTTCTTATGCTCATTTTATATATAATGTCAAGGGTTTTAGTTGTACTTAGTGGGAGTAATAGGAAAAAGTACATCTATTCCATATTCCCGGAAGCAGAGGTCCATCTCTTTTTTTTTCTATTAGACGTAAAGCTGCAACACAATCTTTCTATATAAAGCTTTTCCAACATATGAGATGCATTCCCAGAAGTAGAGTCAATGGGCCAAAAGGTATGAATATTTTTGTGACACTTAACATATGATTAAATTACTTAAAAGATTGTACCTGTTCACACTACCTCCAGCAATTTCTCAACTTTTAAGAGTAAAGTTAGTTTCAAAGTGGCGCTGAACAGAATGTGTGCCTACTTGAGATCCTTAGTGAACTAAAGTCAGTGCCTGACAACCTGTAGGTGGGTTTTTCTACTCAACCTGTTCTTTTTAAAGATTTTATTTATTTATTTTTCCTCCAAAGCCCCGGTAGATAGTTGTATGTCGTAGTTGCACATCCATTCTAGTTGCTGTACGTGGGACGCAGCCTCAGCATGGCCGGAGAAGCGGTGCGTCGGTGCTCGCCCGGGATCCGAACCCGGGCCGCCAGCAGCGGAGCGCACGCACTTAACCGCTAAGCCACGGGGCCGGCCCCTACTCAACCTGTTCTACTGAAAAGCCAGAGGGTGCTGGAGATGGTGGGCTTCAGTGAGAACCTCACAAGAAGATAAGCGTATGGGCACGTGGGGCTGCATGCAATGCCAGTTCTCTTGACAATTACTGTATTCTCAGGGAAACCACTTGTTTCAATGTGAGAGTCTAAATAAACAAGCAATGTGATGAAGTAATTTGCTGTAGTGTCGGGAGTGGGATGGAAACTTAAGAATGAGGGATGGGGAAGGAAGGAGCATAATGTGGTCTTAGAGCTGGATGGGTGCAGGCGTTTCTGCAGCAGCTCTGTTGTGGCTGATCACAGGCTCTAGGCCAGGGGAGTTGATGTCTGTGTCTCGTGGGGACCACAAACCCAGCCAGTTGGTGTCAGGTACTGGGGGGGAGAAGAACAGATCTTTTCTGACTGCATTAGTAAAGGGTGGTAAGTTATGGAGGTTCCCAAATAGGAGATAATCAGGAGATTATTTATGCTTGCCTTTGGAATCATTTGAATACAGTGCTACCTTAGCTGCCCTTCTCTGGCTCAGAGCTTTTGTTTACTTGTGCCATTTTGGAGCATGGGCTTCTCTCTGGGGACTTCTCCCCTACTCCATTATGTTGGAATTTCCATCTGCAAAGCATTAGTGTAGGGTTGACAAAAGGATATAAAACCTGGTTTTTGACCTCTCAAAATGCTAGTTTCTGAAGTTGGGAGCCCTGGGTGTATGACCTTGGTCACATCCTCTAACCACCATGAGCCTCAGTTTCCTTTTCTGTCTCTCTTTACAGGGTTGTTTTGAGAATTGAATAAGTTAATGTAGATGAAAAGACCCTGTAATATTAAAATTCCATACTCCATGAAAAGTAAAGTAAGAGTCCAATTCATTGATGTGTTCAGTTTTTCATTCATTCATTCACTCTTGTATTTATCAAGTCTCTGGCACAAATGAAATAATGGAGCCATGCTCTGGAAATCTACTCTAGGAAGAGCTAGGAGGCCAGGACTGTGTGCCAATCCTTCCTCCGCCCTCCTGTCCAACTCTTCCCTGCCATTGCTGTTCGTCTGGGTTGGATATATGCTCTCTTCTGTAAGACAGGGAGCTGGTTAATGGTAGGTTTCAAAGACCTTGTCTGAACCAAACTAGGCTCGCAAAACCTGAGAAATAAACACTGTTGGAGTGGAACAAATGAAGTCCTACAGGCTATAGTAAGGTGCCCAGAAAGCAAACTGCTCCTTGGACTCAGGAGCCACGATAAACTTAAGAACAAGATTTGCAGTGGACAGGCCATGGGTTGTTTGGGCATCATAGTTGTCCCAGCTGATGGGACAACTCTCTCCCAGGAGTGGCTGCCTCCACGTCGCTGTGGATTAGTAGCTCCTTGCAGGCGGTGGCTTTGCCTTCCTCATTTTGAATCCCCGTGGTCTAGCCCCATTCCTGCTCACAGGGCATCCTCGTGTGGTAGAATCAAGTTAGTGGCAATGATGAGCATTCTTGGTTTTGGACTTGCAGGTCGGAGCCCTCCCCCGGCTGTGTGATGTGTTGCGGGTGCTGCGGGAGGAACAGGACCAGTGCCTGCAGGAGCTCTCCAAAGACAGGACAGGAGACCTGGGCACGGAGCCGCCAACCCTAGGTACCTGGCTCACCTTAGTCCACTCTTGGGCATGGATCGTGTCCAGTCCCTCTGGGTCAGGGGAAGCTGGTCCTCTCAGCCAAGATGGGGATGTCGGGGGATGGACCAGCTGTATTCATTCTGATAATGAGTTGGGGGAAGGGTCTGGAGTTATCCTGATGAACAGTCTACACACGCCCAAAAAGCCAGATCATCACAACTCTTTCTTTCTCTGGGTTTGTGGATACAGCCAGTGTGTTTGTACTATCAGTATGATGTACCACACGCATGATGACTTCACCAAGGTGAGAATTACTTGTCAAGGCAGTGTACCTCTCATCCTTTCTCTCATCTCCACTGACAGTTTGATGAGTGAGGTAGTCGGACAGGCAGTATGTGGTCAGAAAAACCTGGGATCCGATGCTGGCTGACACTTACTGGCTGTGTGACCATGGAGAAATTATTTAACCTTCTTCTTTTTTTTTTTTTTTTGTGAGGAAGATCAGCCCTGAGCTAACATCCGTGCTAATCCTCCTCTTTTTGCTGAGGAAGACCGGCTCTGAGCTAACATCTGTTGCTAATCCTCCTCCTGTTTTTTCCCCAAAGCCCCAGTAGATAGTTGTATGTCATAGTTGCACATCCTTCTAGTTGCTGTATGTGGGACACGGCATCAGCATGGCTGGAGAAGCGGTGTGTCGGTGCGCGCCCGGGATCCAAACCCAGCCCGCCAGTAGCGGAGCATGCGCACTTAACCGCTAAGCCATGGGGCCGGCCCTATTTAACCTTCTGAGCCTTGGTTTCCTGATCTTGGAAATGGAGGTGATAATGTCTACTTCAGAATTATAATGATACATGAGATAAAGTATGTTAAATAATTGTTATTATTAATTGAGACTTTAAATATTATTAATTTGATATTTAAATGTTAATGTTATTTCTGTCCCCTTCCCTAACTTATTTTCTTTGCTTTCCCTCATCTAAAGGTAAGGAGGGGTGTAGCATTAAGAAAAGAATCCATTACAGGTATTCAAACAAAGACTTGTGCACGCGTGTTCATAGCAGCACTAGCCACAGTAGCCAACAGGTGGAAACAACTCAAGTGTCTGTCAATGGATGAATGGGTAAACAAAATGTGGTACTATATATACATACAATGAAATATTATTCAGTCTTAAAACGGAATGAAGTACTGATACATGCTACATCATGGATGAATCTTAAAAACATGTTAAGTTAAAAAAGCCAGTTATAATAGGCCATGTATTATATGATTCCATTTATCTGAAAAGTTCAGATTAAACAAATCCATAGACAGAAATTAGATTAGTAGTTGTCAGGGGCTGAGGGGTGGGAATGGAGAGTAACTGCTTAGAGATTCCTTTTGGTAGTGGTGAAAATGTCTTAGAACTAAATAGAGGTGATGGTTGCATAATACTGTGAATGTACTAAATGCCGCTGAATTGTACACTTTAAAATGGCTAATGGTTAATTTTATGTTATGTGAATTTTTTTAATAGACTTTATTTTTTAGAGCAATTCACTCTAAAATTGAGTGAAAAGTACAGAGAGTTCCCACATCCTCCCTGCTCCCCCTCAAACACACAGCCTCCCCCACCATCAACATCCCCCACCAGAGTGGTACATTTGTTACAACTGGTAAACCTACATTGACACGTCACCACCCAAAGTCCATAGTTTACATTAGGGTTCACTCTTGATGTTGTGCATTCTGTGGGTTTTGACAAACATATAATGACATGTATCCACCATTATATTATCATACAGAGTAGTTTCTCTGCCCTAAAAGTCCTTTGTGCTCTACTATTCATCCCTCCCTCCCCTCAACCCTTGGCAATGACTGATCTTTTTACTGTCTCCGTAGTTTTGCCTCTTCCAGAATATCATATAATTGGAAGCATACAGTATGTAGCCTTTTCAGATTGGCTTCTTTCACTTAGTAATATACATTTTCAGTTTCCTCCATGTCTTTTCATGGCTTGATGGTTCATTTCTTCTTGGTACTGAATAATATTCCATCATCTGGATGTACCACACTTTATTTATCCATTCATCTACTGAAGGACATCTTGGTTGCCTCCAAGTTTTGGCAATTATAACTAAAGCTGCTCCATGTGGACATAAGTTTTCAACTAATTTGGGTAAATAAAAAAGAGTGTGATTGCTGGATTGTATGGTAAGAGTATGTTCAGTTTTGTAAGAAACTGATGAACTGTCTTCCAAAGTGGCTGTACCACTTTGCATTTCCTCCAGCAATGAATGAGAGTTCCTGTTGTTCCACATCCTCGCCAGCATTTGTTGTCAGTGTTTTTTTTTAATTGTGGTAAAATACACATAAACATTAAATTTACCATCTTAACCATTTTTAAATTAAAAAAATTTTTAATTGTAGTAAAAAACATATAACATAAAATTTATCACCTTAACCATTTCTAAATGCGTAGTGCATCATGTTAAGTATATTTACATTGTTGTGCATCCAATCTCCAAAACTATTTCCATCTTGCAAAACTGAAGCTCTATACCTATTAAGCAACTCCCCTTTTCCCCGGCAACCACCATTCTACTTGCTGTTTCCATGAATTTGATTATTCTAGGTACCTCATAAAAGTGGAATCATACAATATTTGTCTTTTTGTGATCGGCTTGTTTCACTTAGCATAACATCCTCAAGGTTCATCAATGTAACATGTATCAGAATTTCCTTCCTTTTTAAGGCTGAATAATATTCCACATTTTGTTTATCCATTTATCCACTGAAAGAAACTTGGGTTGCTTCCACCTTTTGGCTATTGTGATTAATGCTGCTATGAACGTGGGCTTGCAAATATCTTTTCAAGTCTCTGCTTTTAATTCTTTCATGTATATACTTAGAAGTAGAATTGCTGGATCATATGGTAATTCTATTTTTGATTTTTTGAGGAACCACCACACTGTTTTCCACAGTGGCTACACCATTTTATATTCTCACCAACAGTACACAAGGGTTCCAATTTCTCCACATCCTCGCCAACACTTGTTATTTTCTGCTTCTTTATTTTTTGATAGTAGCCATCCTAATGGGTGTAAGGTGGTATCTCATTGTGGTTTTGATCTGCATTTCCCTAACGATCAATGATGTTGAGCATTTTTTTATGTGCTTGTTGGCCATTTGTATATCTTCTTTGAAGAAATGTCTATTCAAGTCCTTTGCCCATTTTTAAATAGGGTTTTTTGTTTTTTTGTTGTTGAGTTGTAGGACTTCTTTATTGTTCTGGATATTAACCCCTTATTAGATATATAATTTGCAAGTACTTTCTCCCATTCTCTAGATTGTCTTTTCACTCTGTTGATTGTGTCCTTTGATGCACAGAAGTTTTTAAGTTTGTTGCAGTCCATTGTATCTATTTTTACTTTTGTTGTCTGTGCTTTTGGTGTCAGAATCAAGAAATCATTGCCAAATCCAATCTTGTGAAGATTTCCTCTATGTTTTCTTTTAAGAATTTTATAGTTTTAACTTTTATGTTTAGATCTTTGGTCCACTTTGAGTTAATTTTTGTGTATGGTATAGAGTAAGAGTCCAACTTCATTCTTTTGCATGTGGATATCCAGTTTTTCCAAAAGCATTTGTTGAAAGACTATCTTTTTCCCATTGAACAGTCTTGGCACCCTTGTCAAAAATCATTTGACCATATATGTGAGGTGTTATTTCTGGGCTCTGTATTCCATTCCACTGGTCTATATATCTGTCATTACGCAAGTACCACAGTGTTTTGATTACTGTAGCTTTGTAATAAGTTTTGAAATCAGCAAGTATAAGACCCCAACTTTATTCTTTTTTGAGATAGTTTTGGCTATTCTAGGTCCCTTGAGATTCCATATGAATTTTAGGATGAATTTTTCTATTTCTGCAAATAACACCATTGGGATTTTGATAGATATTGCATTAAATCCATAGATAGCTTTGGGTAATATTGACGTCTTAACAATCTTAAGTCATCTAATCCATGAACACAGGATGTCTTTCCACTTATTTGTATTTTCTTTAATTTCTTTCAGCAACATTTTGTAGGTTTCAAAGTGTAGGTCTTTCTCCATGTTAGTTAGGTTTATTCTTAAGTATTTTATTCTTTTCTGTGCCATTATAAATGGATTTGTTTCTTAATTTCCTTTTCAGGTTGTTCCTCATCAGTATATAGGAATGCAACTGATTTTTGTGTGTTGATTTTGTATCTATCTTGCAAATTTTCTGAATCCATTTATTAGTGCAATCTTTACAGTTTTCTCTAAATAAGATCATGTTGTCTGTGAACAGACATACTTTTCCCCTTCCAATTTGGATGCCTTTTATTTCTTTTAATTGCTATGGCTAGGACTTGCAGTACTACGCTGAATATAAGTGGTGAATGTGGGCATCCTTGTCTTGTTCCTGATCTTATGGGAAAAGCTTTCAGTCTTTCACCATTGAATATGATGTTTGCTGTGGGCTTTTCATATATGGCCTTTATTATGTTGCAATAGTTTCCTTCTATTCCCAGTTTATTAAGTGTTTTTTATCACGAAAGGTTATTGAATCTTGTCTAATGCTTTTTCTGCATCAGTTGAGATGATCCTGTGGTCTTTGTCCTTCATTCTGTTAATGTGGTATATTACATTGGTCAATTTTTGTGTGTTGAACCATCCTTGCATTGCAGGAATAAATCCCACTCGATCATGTGTATGATCCTTATAATGTGCTGTTCAATTCTGTTTGCTAGAATTTTGTTGAGGATTTTTGCATCACTATTCATCAGAGATATTGTTCTGTAGTCTTCTTTTATTGTAGTGTCTTTGTCTGGCTTTGGTGTCAGGGTAATGCTGGCCTCATAGAATGATTTTGGAAGTATTCCCTCCTTTTCAGTTTTTTGGAGAATTTGAGGAGGATTGGTGTCAATTCTTCTTTAAATGTTTGGTAGAATTCATCAGTGAAGCTATCTGGTCTTGGGCTTTTCTTTGTTGGGAGATTTTTTTTTTATTATTATTGA